AGTTTCCTATGCTATCCTTCGTCCATTGCCGCCGTCTCCTCGTCATCCTCCACTCTCACCATCCTCAGCATTCTCTCCCATTTCTCGGAATTGCTTCAAATTGTATAATTGCCTTTCAAAACTTCTTAACTCCATGTTATTGCTTCCCACTCTATTTAACACTAATTCGTAATGAAACATGCAAATATTTAAGTAGAAAATCATTGTTTTATTTGTTCAAGATAAAATAAAGAAATTATTAAATTAGAGATAAGGCTTGGCAGAAGGTAATAATTCAAGAGTATAGTGCTAATAAATTAAATTAAAATGCAAAATTAGAAAAACACCAGCAATTAAATTAAATTAAGTTATTTTCCACATGCCTGTGTGTGTGTATATATATCTGTATGTGTATGATGAGCATTAATTTAAATTCATTTCATGTGATAAATATTTGTCACGGGCGTGGGAAATAGCGCTGGTGGATAAAAAACGAATTTAAAATTGTAACATACTTTTTGAAAATGCATAAAAAAGAATCTAATAAATAAAAATTTAAAAAATAAAATAAATAGCCTTCAACATTAATTCAGAAGTATAAAAAACAGACATTCAACCTCCCCATCATCGTGATAATGATCACTATAATACTCATTGTTATGATAAAATCTGCACTGTTCAATACAAATTTAGTGCTCTTTGGGTTGGCTAGCTTGCTTAGTATTGAAATTTATTTTACATTAAATATTATGATGCACTCAATATCTTAATCCTCCTCTGATCCTTAATATAGGACCCAATTCTTGAGTTAATTTTGATCCTAAATGTAAGACTTATTTCTCACATTTATCAATTTTCTCTAAATTACTCCTATGAATACTCCATCAACTATAAGCAAATAGAAAAGGGAGATGGGGTATTAAAAAAGATAATTATGGTATTTTAGGAAAAATATGTCACTTTTCTTATAATTAACTAACTTACCTAACTTCCTTAATTTAATTAAATTAGTTAAATGGGTCTTATATTAAGGACCGGATGAGTACTTTTTTTTTCCTCACACTTCCAGTGCTCTCTGGTACTATTTTTCAGTTACATCTAATACTTTAATCTTATTTATGATTTAGGATATTTATCTATAGTGCATTCAACATCTCAAAAGCATAAATGAGATTAAGATGTATTCCTTGTCACTAAAAAAAAAATATCATACACAACTTTGAATTTAGAGTCGGGTTGCATGTTTATATACTTTTTATATACTCCGAATTAAACTAGATGGAAGAAGCAGTGAAGATGGAATTAAAGACGGAAAGAGGTCCCACTAGACAGAGTTATTTGAACTTGCTTTAGGGTGTGTTTGGATGAAACCAAACCGTGGTTTGGAAAAGTGATTCTGGAGAATAGATTCTGTGAAGAATAGATTTTGTAAAAAAGTGATTCTGAGAAGTGAGAGTGTTTGGATAGTTGTTATCAGAAGCACTTTTTATATATACAAATTACTAAAAAAAAGACATAAGTTAATATGATAATTACAGAAAAATAGATTTTATGATATATTTTAATTTGAAGAAATAAAATTGTTAATAATATATTTTTTACCAACATAATTAATAATACATAAGATAATATAATTAATAAATAATTAATGTGTATATATATTTATAAAATATAAGATTAAATATGTTTATCAAAAAATATGTTTATAAAAAAATTAACAAGATACATATCATATAGGCTCTCACACTCTCCCTTTTTTCTCCAAAAGCAAAAAAAATTTGCTTTTTACAAAACCATGGTTTTGGAGTCAAAACCATGGTTTTGACCCAAAACCATGGTTTTGGTTTTTAGAGGGGGTGTTTGGGTGGGTGACACCCCAAACCATGGTTTGGGTCCCCAAACCATGGTTTGGGTCCCCAAACCATGGTTTGGGGTGTCACCCAAACACACCCTTAATTAAGGACTTTGAATTTAGAGTTGACTAGATGGAAGCAGCAATGAATCAAAGAAGGACATAGGTCCCACTACTCAGAGTTATTGAGACTTGCTTTAATTTTCTCCTTACTTGAAAAACATACATATATACTAGCTCGTAATATTAATGTATATAAGAGTTAGATAATTAATTTATAAATATTAAAAAAATTAGTTAAGTTAGTTGTTTATAATAAATAAGTGTTATTTTTTTTAAAATACCCTCATTAATTATGTGTATTAGAATAACCTTTTAATAAAAAATTCCTTAACATCTATAATCACCATAAAAATTATTTGGGAACAAAATAAATAAATATGAAAGATAAAATGGATTGATATATTGTATTTAATTTGGAGTCAAATTGATTTAATTTATTAGCATTTTATGTGACTTATTCAAAAAAAAAAAAAGCTATCACAATAATTTGAATAGAAATAGATGCATGTTAATTAGACATGTGATGATGTGTAAGCTTCAACTAAGTGTGTTTGAATTAGTAAAAGAATAAAAAATTAAAAAAATTAATTTATAATAATGATTTGGATAATAGACTTTTATATGCTAGAATATATATTTAGTTTTTTTAATTTTATATAGAGTTTTAGTTTAGTCCCTTAACTTTAAAAAGTATACTCTTAGTCCTTTAACCCTAAAATTTAAAAAAAATGATGAAATTAGGGTCTTAAATGTTGATAAAATATTTTTAAATGCTAATATATTAAGTTTAATTTTCAAAACAACCATAATTATTATAAAAAAAAATCATCATTTAAGCCTAACAAATCAAATTTAGGTAATCAAATGTATGCTTTTTAAAACTAAGAGACTATACGAAAACCTTGTATAAAATTAAAGGACTAAATATATATTTTAGCTGATTTTTATATAATCGAGTGTTGTGAGAATAGATTTTTATATTGTCTTTTAATAAAAAAGAAAACAAAGAACAACACTCCCCTCTGGTTCCCTTTCTTTTTTTTTACCTTTGAACAGTTTGATATATAATTTTCAATGCAAAAACTACAGCTAAAAGAAAGTCATTTGATCCTCCAATTTCATTATTTTTCATTTGATCATTCCTTTTTTAAAAAAATAAAGTTAATGCGGATATTGTCCTAAACCTTATGTTATATTGTTAAATACAATTATGCACATAAACATATTAGTATTAGATTTGAATACGAGACCTCATCAAAACTTAGCGAGTGGTGCAGCCACTAAACATTTCAATGTAAACTCATAGCCAACAATAATAAATGAATTTCAAATAATTTTAATGCATTTAAATAAAAATAATCATTAAGCTAATTAAACACGCACGATGTTCTCAAAGAAACAACGAGAATAAATTTTAAGAAAAAGCCATAGAGGAGCACAGGTACACAGGAAGAAAAAAGCACCAGATGGGTGAAGAAAGATGGAAGTCAAGACGCGGGCTCATTTGAAATGATTTATGAGTAAGTTTTTAACTGTATATGACGTAAGTAAGTACGCGAGAATAATTTTATTTAAATTTATATAAAATGTGTAAACAAGTTAGAAGTGGACGAGTTATGCTTAAGAAAAATCATGCCAAAGGCTAAATTTTTAACAACGTCAAATTCGATCAAAAGCAATAAATAAAAACAGGAGGAAACTAATAAAATTAAAATTGAAAGAAACTCAGAATTAAGTTAAAATTAAAAATGATAAAAAAAAAAAGCAATTTGAATAGAAGGACATGACGAAATCAATTTTTGAGCTTGAGGGTAGTAGTATTATATAAAACACACTCAGGACAGGACATCATTATTATGTATTACTTTCGATCTGTAGTATAAAAACTAGTTTGATTTTTAATTTGATTTTAAATATAAAATTTCAATTTATTTTATTTCTCTTATTTATTTATTTTTTTAAGATAGTTCTTATAGTAATTGTACATGATAAATATTTCATCAAATAATACTTGATTAGCAAGAGTATTTTAAGGAAGAGAACACTTATTTATTACCAACAATTAACTTAACTAATTTTTTTAATCTGTTCAAATTAGTTACCTAATTTTTATATTAAAAATAGAAAGTAGTAGCTTGGAAAATGTTTGGGTAAAAACCAAACCATAATTTAAAAATGATTTCATGAAAGTGAAGATAAATACGTGAGTACGAAGAATTTAATTTTGGGTTAGCTAAAAATATTTTTTTAAAATGCTTAACAGGATCCATGCACCTTACGCGCTTTTGATTTTGGCCGTCCATCCATGGGTCCCGCACATTCGCCAGTGACATTCCTCGCAACTCCTAAAGAATTAATTATCTGTCCAAGTTCAGGTAAAAAAAAAAAAAAGCGTTGTTTATATAAAGACAATTCCGAGTTCAGGAGCATCAATTATCTGTCCTTGGTTCTCTCTCGTCTTTTTCAAACTAACTCAAAAAACAGCACGTGTCGACCTCCCTAGCAGAGAAGATGAATGCACAGACGCTAGGACGCTCGGTGCAACGCGTAGCATTGTCCATGTGGAAGCTAGTGAGCTCAATGTTGCTGCCACCGTTGCCTTCACCGTGGGAGGCTGAGCACCAGAATGAGTTTGCTCTCAACGGTAGCTTAGCTGGGGAAGCGGAACCAGACAGCACCCGCCTTGCATGCCGAGCACGGCTGGCGCTGCCGATAAGGTCTTTCAATGTGCCCTTTATTCATTAATACTATTTCCAGTTCTAATTATAAGAACTAATTGACTAGTTTGAAGAAATTAAGAAAGTAAATTGAGTTAGTTATTTGTCTTAAATAGGTGTTGTCTTTTCTAAAATATCCTTACTAATCAAGTGTATTGACTAGAACTCTTATTATTAGAAAGGTTACTTTAAAAAAAAAATATAAATATAATAAACAAAGTGGATTGGGGTCTTATATTTAAGATTAAAATAAAAATTAAATAGAGTATTATATTAAAGATAGGAGGTAGTATTGTTTTTCTATCCACCAACGAACAAACATTTCTCACGTGTGTTGACTTAGTCTAGACTGTCAGTTCTAAATTTATGTTTTTTTTTATTGTTTAAACTTAAACTATTAAAATTGTATTTCATTCCCTTATTTTGATTTAAGTTATTAACACTATTTTTTTAAATTATTCCCGGCCATTAGATAGTAACACTTGGGATAAAAGGCTGGTAAAAAATACTTAGGTTAAAGGTACACTTTTACTCCTGATTTTATTTATTTTTTAGGCACAATTTTATCTGATTTTTTTTAATGGTGCTATTTAACTTATAGTTTTTTAATACAATTTTATCCGTGATATTTTTTTATATAATTTTATCTCTGGTTTTTGGATTACTCCTTAGGGATAAAATTGCACTCAAACGAAAAAATTAGGGGTCAAATTATACCACTAAAAATAGGAGTAATATTATACTTAAAAAACAATATTAGAAGTAAAGTTGAAACTTTACCCTGATACTTGTTATTACCTCTAGTTTTTAATATAAGATCTAACTGATTAATTTGAATAGATTAAAAAATAATTTAAATTGATTATTTGTAATAAATAGTTGTTGTTTTTTTTTAAAATACCTTTACTAATAATGTGCACTAGTTAAAACCGCTACAACCCTTAACATGTGTAACTTCTACAAGATTACCTTTAACATGTGAAACCTTTAACTTTAATAGACAAAGTGAATTAAAATTTTATATTTAAAATTAAATTAAAAATCAAATTAACTCTTATATTAAAAATAGATAATAATATATACCCTTTATTTTACATAAATAAAATGGAAGAAAGGTGGGCTCCGCTGCTTCATACTTTAGCCCAATGTTGTAAAATCCGATTCCCCGCTCAAAAGCGATTTTGAGCGGTTCTATCTAGTTTTACGTGGATGTTTGGATGAAACCAAATTATGATTTTGAAAATAATTTCTGAAAAATAGATTTTGGGAGAATAGATTTTGTAAAGAGTGGATTTTGTCAAAAAATAATTCTGATAAAGTGAGAGTATTTAGATAGTTGTTATCAGAAATACTTGTTATATGTACAAATTACTAAAAAGGATATGAGTTAATATGATAATTACATAAAAATAGATTTTATAATATATTTTAATTTCAAGGAATAACATTGTTAATAATATATTTTTTACCAATATAATTAATAATATATAAGATTATGTAATTAATAAATAATTAATATGTGTATATATATTTATAAAATATAAGATTAAATATGTTTATAGAAAAATAATTGATGAGTGTTAAAGTCATATTATTGTTGGGATTTACTCTGATAGACACAATCATACCCTCGAATTTGAACAAGAACCATAATAGATTCATTTCTTTTGAAACCATAGTTTTGACCTAAAAACGTGGTTTACTAATGTTTTTTCCTTGTTTGGCAAATTTTTGACCCAAACCATGATTTAGATCCCAAAACCATGATTTTAGGTATTTGCCAAACAGGCCCTACTTCTCAGATGGTCCCACGCTGTAAACCAACCTGGTAAAGTGACCGGGTGGTGGCGGGTCCTGTCTGGGCTCCAAATCCCTGCTTTATCCTCTAGAGAGGGCACGTGATCCCCCCTCTGATCATGTAATCTGACCCCACCTTTTGTTGTGTGCAGCAACCAGAGCAGAAGGAACGGCCATAGCCATGACAGCTTCTATCGAGGAAGACAAGTTTCTTACGCTGTGTTCTTCTTCAATGTCAATATCTTCAATTTCTCGAGGGAATTCTTTTTCTCCAATTTGATCTTCGCTCCCTTGCTTCCAATTCTACTCAGCTACCTTCAGATACAGAGTTCAAGGACTTCCATGGCTTCTGTCATATGTACATCAGCATATTTCTTTGCTCTGGCTGCTAAGTTCTTGTTTCCTGGTTTTGCTTCTCTGTTTGAAGCGCTCATGACTGCGTTTGGCTCTCTGGCTGTTGCCACTCTGGTATCTTTGGCTCTGCAGCTTCCATGGTGGTCCATTTTCTTTATTCTATCATTCATGGGAGGCTTCTTTAAGTTGCTCAATAAACTTCATGCAACATATGGCAATATACGTCGTCATCATCCAAGAACGATGCAACCACTCCTACCATTGTATGATGTTATCTTCAATCATTGATGGAAAATATTGAGTTAGGAGAATACTACTTACCTTAATTTAGGTGTTTTCATGTACCTTTCGTTTTCCTTCCTTTTTCTCGTCTGTTCAAAGGCTATCTTAAATGTCGTATAGCAGTTGTAATCCAATTGTTATCCTAGTAGAAAATGCGTCCAACACTCTTTTTTCCAATCCTTAAATCAGGTTTGTCTACCCATGTATTGTTCAATTCTGGTCTCATATTTCTTTGTTTGAACTTTTGATGCCATTCTTTTCTCGCATTATAGAACAAGATCCATTTTGAATTATATTTAAGGGATTACTTGGTTCGAGCCGATGAAGCAATGTCACTCGATCATTATCCCCAAACATAGAATGTTACTGGTTTTCAAAGAAGTTCAGGTGGCTTTGTCTCCTTTCTTATCATCAGCAACGAAATTATCACTGTTCTCTGGCACAACCAGATGTGGGTTATGTCCTTCTGGTTGATGAACGGTTTATTCAGAATGAAAAAGTGAATAATTCTCTCGTGTGAATTTCCACGGTTTTGGTTTACTTTGCTCTTATTGCTGGGAGAGGTTCGTCCTCATTGGTTTCCTTTTCTTTTTTTTTTGGTGACCTGATAGAAGTGAATAATTCTCTTGTGTAAATTTTAGGTCCTGCGAGTAAAACTTGACGCTGGAAGGGGCCTTACCTATACAATACAGCTCTAGTAGCTGATGTTATCGTGTGTGAAACGATAAAGTTGCACTTTGCAGAGTAAGTTTTTGGATGAGTTTAAATATTGATTGGCATTAAAAAATATATTACCAGATTTCTGTTCATAATGTGCCATGTTCAACTTCTTTGAACTTTCAGATTCAGAGTCATCGATCAGTGTACGAAAGGCCTTCTGAATTACTGAACCTTTCTCCCTTCATATATTATCGTCATCAGTTTCAATGTAGTAGAATTTGTTACTCTTCAGTCAAAAACTTGCTGCTAGCTAGCTGCCACTTTGGATGCATTTTGGGAACCCTGTAGGATATTGTTGAATTGAAAATCATTTGAATTCCATTTTGAAATATGAGCAACATGATCATACGGAGACCTTATCACATTTTGTTCTTCGTAATATCCATTGACTATATGTGTTTATCTATATCAGTTAATGTTTGTTTCTTTACTGTGTTCTGTTCACTCTAGTTCTCTTCTCATCCCTCTGTTGTAGTGTCTGTGTGGCTGTGTTGGAGGTTTCGGACTGTGCAGGGATCCACATCTGCAGATGGGAAGACAACACTTGCCATTCGCTGGGCAAGACAATCGGAAGGACTCTGGTTGATATGGTTTTGATGTCTTGTTTACAAAGTTGCCTTCGTTTTTTGAGTTTTGCCTTTTTGTTTAGCGAGTTATTTTCCCGGCTGGGATTATGAAAATAGCTTTTCTAGGGTGGGGGAATTTCTAGTCGCTTGTTTTTTCTATAAATTTCTCTCCATATATTTATCGATGCTATAAGAATGGGAAATCTCATCAGCTTTATCTTGTAATGGTTGGACAAAGGACATTGTTCAAAAGCCTTTTGGTTATGATCTGGTAGCGGATTATATATTCTGGTTTTGTAATTAAGTCCTTCATCTGCATCTAAGGATACTGAAACATGGTGTCATGATAAAATGGAAAATTTTTAGTAGATTGGCCTCTCATGTATGTACATTTAAATTCTTATCTCCATATCAGTAGCTTATGCAGGGGCTTTTACAATCATAGGAGAGTTACAGATATTATGCAGGACCATCCACTTCAAATATGATGGTATTATATAAACCGCATCCTTGGAGGTTCTGTCATTTCATTATTTATATTTATCAGTTTCTCAATGTTTTTCACATACACCTGCAACTAATCTAGCTTTTACTAGTCAAAAGTATGCAGATAGATCATTTTGGACTTAAGATGTGGATACCTTAATGATATTCACAGTTTGATATTCTCCAAATCATTATAATGAAGATTGTAAAGAAAGATTTGAATGCAAATCTGAGTTTGCTGTACCTGTTAGGCAAACCAGCTAGCACATTGTTCTACTTCTGTTTTGTTATGTATTGTTAACTTCATTTAACTTTATAGCATATAGATGATTATGCATTACAAAGTCTTGCAGGTTCTGTAGCTGCCTACTATATCCGAGGAAAAATAATTGCAGTGATTTGAGTAAATCTAAGTAACTAATATCAACAAACATTGAGTTGATACCATGCAGAGTACAATTTCCATAATTTTCAAAATGAAATAAGTCTCAACTTCTTGATATCCCTGAAGCCTTTATTTATTTCACAGTTGGTTCTAAAGATCTTATGGTTTCCATGGAGGTTTTCTCAATTAACATTTGGCCATAGCTCATTGCCTTCTTATGTCCGTGTACGATAATGTTATCTTAGTATGTTTAATTGTTTCACTTGGTTTGGATTTCTTAGTAATTTTCTGGCCAAATTCTCTCTCACCATGAATTATTTCATTTTCATGTGCCAGGTTCTAAGTTTTTTAGGCTTTCTTCTGTTTACCTTCAATCAGGCACTTGACCATACCATAACTTCTTAATGGATGTCAGAACCTCATAAAATGTTGGAATTGATGACGAAGTATCATGCCACTAGGCAATAACTGCTTTCATTACAATGTTGTTGAATAAGTTATACCTTAAAAGACTATCTAAACCTTAGCGGTTTAAGTTTTTGCAAAGTTTGAATATTTATGAGGATTAAATACACATGGCAGGCAAGACTTTCAGATTTGTGTTCATAATATGGAATTTCTATTATTTGACGTCTAGAATTGAGGATCATGGTCCACTTCTTGTAGAAGCTGCAGAGCATTTCACAGGTCGGTCAAGTTATAATATTCATGTTGGGCTGACTTCAAGTGCAAGGTTCATCTTTCGTGTCACAGCAAATGCGAGCTTTGTTCATGAATCATTGTGGCAAAGGGCCACCGGTGTTGCAGTTATACACTATTCCTATTCCAAGCAAGGGGCCAACAATCAGTTCTCTCCCTGATCCACCTAATGATTTTTATGACAAGGAGCCGTCAATGAAGCAAGCAGAAATGGCAGATTAGTCAGGTGGCATTACAAATCAGTGTTGCATTTGCTTCCTTCAGTTGATATTCTAGGTACAAAATTGACATGTTTGTTGATTTTGTGATCTTAATCTTCATTTTTGGTTCTGCTCAGGCATCTTTTGGATCTGAACGGTTCTTTTCTGTTGAGAATAACTTTGGGCTTTCTAAATCCAACTGCGTTAAGTATTAAATTGAGCTGATTTTGATTGTAGAAAGTAGGCTGTTAGCTATTGAGCTCATTAGATAATAGTTGGTCAAAAGGTATCTAGATCCTGTTTTTAAGATTTTGCACATGTATATAGCATCCATGTTCATAGAATTCGACAGAGTTTAATATTAGCTGTCCAGGGTTTAACACAACCCTCCTACTTTATCTGAGTTTGGGACTGGTTTATACTATATAGGCAAGTTAGAGCACAATAGCATCATATAGAAGGAGGCAGAAGAAGACCAAGAAGGACCTCAATAAGGTCGTTGAACGAGGCCTCCTAGTCAATAACATATTCAAGTATTGGTTGTTGATAGAGCACATGACGTTGTGTGACTCTTATAGCCGATCCTACTTAGTAGAATAAGGCTTATTATTGTTGTTGTTACTACACATATACTAGCATCCGAGATACGAGGACCTGAACAAACTTAGGAGACATATGAAGCACAAATGGTCTAATTATGGAGTCGTATCCACGTTTGACACGCGTGGATACTTTACAATATTGATGCCCTGTTTCTGTTTTCCTCCTCCTTTTAGCAAATAACAACCACGGAGGGATTTGAGTTCTGTTATGTGTATAATACTATTCCTGAAGCATGAATAACGATAAGAGCAGAAAACCTGTGTTGTTGGTGGCGTCTAGGCCAAGAAAGATACCGAAGTTGATCAAATTGCCCCAAATGAGCTCACTTAAAATCATCTGATAATAAATTTAGAACCTTATTTAGACCTTAAGATCCGTTTGGTATGAAGTATTAAAAATGAAGGATTAGAATTAAGATTGCAATTGAAAAAAATCATTAGAATAGTTTTAGCATGAGTGATTGCTTATTACATGAGATTAGGCAACCTATGGAGGTGGAATTGAGGAATATCACTTTTTCTCATGATAATCTTCAATCCCACATACACGGGCTTGGTTAATTCCTCACAATAATCAATCTCTTCTGCTAAATATTCTTTTATAGATATTTTCAAT